GAATTTTTGTTTCACTTATATGGGACTTTGCATAAAATTAATTGATATGAGTGTGCTTTCTTTGTTGAATGACTCCATGATTTTAAAATGGAGAAAGTGCATATTAGAGTTAAAAGATTGGAACAGAAAAATTTTGAGAAAATTTTTTTGGAAAAGTCCAACCTTTTTTCCTTTAGTCTTTGAATTTTGGTTTGCTTGAGGACAAGCAAAAGTTTAAGTTTGGGGTTGTGATGAGTCCACATTTTACTACATTTTTATACATCATTTATTACTTTTTATAGAAAAGAATAGACTTAGATAGTGTAAATAAGATGAATATTCCAATTAGGCTAAATAATATAGCTTTCTTAGTTTTTTGTTAATTTACATGAATTTAGATAGTTTATTTTACATATTTTGATCATTTGAATAATATGGCAGGAATCCCCAAGCTTATTTTGAAGAATTATTGGATTTTGAGGAATTTGAGTTGAAAGTAACTACTTTCAATATTGATAGTGACAACTACAGCAAGCCACTTCCAGCAAAGGGACCAAAGTGATCACTTTCAAAGCTTAAAGTGACAACTACAGTAGCCCAGAATCAACCAAACCTGCGCGTGGTTACTATGAATATTCATAGTAGTCACTCCAGAGCATGCAAAATTGAAGGTGCTGCGCGTAGTTACTATCAAAAATTCATAGTGACAACTCCAGAGAGTCCAAAATGTCCCAGTGTTGCGCGTGATTACTATGAATATTCATAGTAATCACTCCAGAGAGGAAAAACTCAACTGATGCTGCGTGTGTTTACTATGAAAGAATGAGAGTAACTACTTTGGAGGGCGCCAGCTTTAGTATAAATAGATTTTTACCAAATTAGGGTAGGAGTTCTTACACTTTTTGAACCTTTTCTCTTTTTTACTCAATTTAGAATATTTTCCAGAGCTTAGGGCAACCTTGGGTGACAGCCAAGGGTCCAACCTAGGGTTTGGTTTCTCATTTCTCTTGCTTTTACATTAATGTTAATGAGTTTTCTGCATTTCCCAATTGCGTTTTTGACCCCCATTTCCATGGAGGGCTAACTTTGTGTAATCCTTAGTGAATTCACATGGGTTCTTGAGTTCCTTGAATTTAATGATAATATAATTCCTTTCTTTCATGAATTACTTCTTCCTTGTCTCTTGAATTGAATTAATGGTGAATGAGGGGGGTATTGCTCAATTAACCCAAATTTCATTTTAAGGAGATTCTAAACTAAGGGTTGCTTAATCCTAGGTTTAATTATAAGGTTGCGTAATTTTGGGATGAGAGATTAGAGCCTAACAAATTGCGTAATTTCGTTGGGACCATAAGGTTGATTTTCTCTTGTTAAATTAACCTAATTCATGAAGAGAGGATGAATGTTAAATCTTGAGTGGAATGAGGATAGAATTTATGTGGATGAACTACGGATTGCTGTTTTCTATTGTTCGAATTAATTAAACTCATTTGCTCATTGCTCTTTATTTTAATTTGAAACCACAAAACCCCCCCCCCATTTTAATTGCTTGTTTAATTAATGCCTTCAACATGTTTAATGAAGATTAATAACCAATGTTCATGGGAGACAATCTAGGGTTACCCTAGTACTACATTAATTTGTTTAAATTTTGATGAGGATTTACGACAAATCTTTTAAACACCTTAAAATAAACCATCATCAGATGCCCCAGATAAGTGAGGGGTCTAATCTAGATAAGTGATCAGCAACATAGTTCTCACTCCCTTTTTTATCTCGGATCTCTACATCAAACTCTTGTAACAAGAGAATCCATCAAATAATCCTTGGCTTAGCATCCTATTTAGCCATCAAATATCTAAGAGTAGAATGGTTAGTATAAACAATGACTTTAGACATAGTCAAATAAGGGCAAAATTTATCAAATACAAATATCACAGCTAGCATCTCCTTGTCAGTAGTGGTATGGTTCCGTTGTGCTCCATCCAAAGTTCTACTTGCATGATAAATGGCTTGAAAAATCTTGTCCTTCCTCTAGCCCAGAACTGTTCCAACAGCTGTATCACTAGCATCACACATAAGCTCAAAGGGTAAAGACCAATCAGGAGAAATAACCATAGGGGCATCAATCAACTTACTCTTAAGGGTATTAAAACCATGTAAACAAGCATCATCAAATTTAAACAATATACCCTTAGCTAACAAATTAGAAAGAGGTTTTTCTATTTTTGAAAAATCTTTAATAAACCTCCTATAAAACCTTGCATGCCTTAAGAAACTCCTAATAGATTTAACACATGTGGGAGGGGAAAGTTTAGCAATAACTTCTACCTTAGTAAGGTCTACCTCTATACCCTTACTAGAAACTTTATGTCCCAAAACAATGCATTCATCAATCATAAACTGACATTTTTCCTAATTTAAAACCAAATTAGCCTTTTTACATCTTTGTAAAACCAAATCAAGGCTATGCAAACAATTATCAAAATTGTTGTCGTAAACAGAAAAAGCATCCATAAAAATCTCAATACAATTTTCTAATAAATCAAAAAACAAGGCCATCATGCATCTCTGAAATGTCGCGGTGGTATTACACAAACCAAACGGCATCTGTTTATATGAAAAAGTACCATAAGGGCATCTAAAAGTAGTCTTCTTTTGACCTTCTAATCCAACAAGTATTTGCATGTAACCCGAATAACCATCCAAACAACAATAAAATTCACGCCCTGCTAATTTTTCTAACATCTGATCAATAAAGGGAAGGGAGAAGTGGTCTTTCCGGGTGGCCTCATTTAGCTTCCTGTAGTCTATACACATTTGCCACCTAGTTACTTTTCTTACGGCAATAAGTTCTAGTTGCTCATTCTCCATAACTGTGGTTCCTCCTTTCTTTTGTATAACTTGCACAAGGCTCACCCAAGGGCTATCAGAAATAGGAAAAATAATACCAGCATGTAATAACTATATTACCTCCTTTTTTTACTACTTCTTTTAGACTAGGGTTAAGTCTCCTTTGAGGTTGAACCTTGGGTTTGAATTCCTCCTCCAAGTGAATCCGGTGGGTGCAAATGGAAGGCCTAAGACCCTTGATGTCATGAATGCTTCACCCAAAGGCCTCCTTGTTCTCCTTCAAGACTCTCATCAATTTCTCATCCATAATATCTATCAATTTAGAAGAAATTATTACAGGAAGAGAAGAGGGAGGAGATAGAAAAGCATATTTAAAATCAGAGGGAAGGGGTTTGAGCTCTAATTCAGGAGGTTCTTCAATGGATGGTTTAGGAGTTTGAATATCTCGTGCTCCCATACTTTCAAAATGCCTAGGCGCCAACCATCGACTTTGATTCTCGCTCTTCATAGCCAAAATTTCATCTATTACTTCCTTTGTTTCTATTAAAGTAACTTATTCAAGTATGAGAATTTTCTCTAGAGTATCATCCCTCAACCTATCAATTAATTGTACAGAGTCTAAAGAGGAAAAAGGATCATTTACAGAAATAAAATTACAAGAATCAAAACTAAAAGGGTGTTTAAGAGAATCAAAAACTTTAAAAACAACTTCTTCATCATTTAGCCTCAACGTGAGCTTCACTTGCTGGATGTATATAATCTTTCCAATGGCTAAGAATGGTCTCCCCAGAATAATGGAAACCGCATTATCCTCCTCCATGTCTAGTACAATAAAATTTGAAAGGAAAATGAATTTTTCTACCTTTACCAAGACGTCTTCTACTATACCTCTTGGGTAAGTGATGGATCTATCTCCTAACTGCAAAGAAATAGAGGTAGGTTTGGGTTCTTGCATACCCAACCTTCTAAAAAGAGAGAGAGAGACATTAGATTTATGCTAGCCCCTAAATCACATAGGGCTTTATCAAAATAAGAGCTACCCATAGTACAAGGAATAGTAAAACTCCCTAGGTCTTTAAGTTTTGGAGGTAACTTTTTCAAAAGGATTGCAGAGCATTCCTCATTAAGCCTTACAGTTTCAAATTCCTCTAACCTCCTTTTATTGCTTAATATTTCCTTGAGGAACTTAGCATTTTTGGGCATTTGAGAGATGACCTCCACAAAGGGTATGTTGATGTGCAACTTCTTCAAAATGTCAAAGAATTTGTTGAACTGTGGGCCCTTCTGACTGCTTCTCAACCTTTGTGGAAAAGGGATTTGAAGTTCTTCAGGCCTGGACATTGTTGATGGTGCTTCTTTCTTTTCTTGTTCTGTTTCTACAGCGTCAGTGTGGCCGTGCATATGAGGGAGCACGAGCGTACATACAGCTATATTCTGCGACTTTGGCACGTTTTCAGGTAACGTCTTCCCGTTTCTCAATGTAATTTCCTTGGCATGTTCTTTGGGGTTAGGCTCAGGCTGGGAGGGCAACGTCCCTAGCGCTCTTTGAGTCAACAAATTTGTAAGTTGTCCCAGTTGAGATTTTATCTCGAATGTACCAAAGCTTATTTTTGAAAACTTTTTGTCCATTGTTTGGGCTTATTGCTCTATCTGAAGACTTTGTTATTCCATCTGGGACTCAAGCTTTGAAATTCTCTACTCCAATTGAAAGGTTGAGGGCTCTCTCCTTTCTCTCCTTATCCCTTGAGATTGCATATGGGGAGGGCGATAAACATTTGAATTTTGACCTCCTTGGCTATTCTCTGATGAGTTCATGGGTTTGCTATGTCGTCCAGAATTGTAACTGTTGCCCAAGAAGTTAGCCTCCTCTCTGGAGGTTTTGCTAATTGATCTTGTGCCCTTAGTAAGAATTCTCTTTGCTTTGACAGAGTTTCCAGCTTATTTGTTATTGAATTGCTACTCTCTACCTAGTAGGCTTTTTTTTTTTTTTTTTGCTTCGATGATGGTCTGTATGTCATTGAAAATTACTAGATGCTATCTTCTCTATCAATGTATGGGTCGTAGTTGGCCCTTTAGATAGGAAGGATCTTCCAGCAGCTGCATCAACTATAGCTCTATTAGAAGATGAGAGTCCAGCATAGAAAATCTGCATTTGCTTCCACACAGGGAAACTATAATGTGAGCATCTCCTTAGAAGTTCTCTAAAGCGCTCCCACGTCTCAAATAGAGATTCAGATTCATATTGTTGAAAATTAGAGATTTCTGTCATCATCTTCGCAGAGAGTGATGGTGCAAAATATTTGGCTAAGAATTGTTGTGTCAGGTCATCCCATGTTGTAATTGAATTAGATGGAAGTGTGGAGAACCATGTGTTCACCCTTTCCGTGATAGAGAATGGAAAGAGGCGAAGCCTTATAGCATTTTTAATGACACCATTGTATTTAATGGTATCCGTGAGTCAGAGAAACTTTTTCAGATGAAGGTGAAGGTCTTCGTTAGGTCACCCCAAAAATAGTGTGGAATTTTGGACTAGATTGATCAAGGCCGGCTTTAATTTAAAATTATTGGCCTCTATGTCAAGTGCTACAATGCTCCCAGCATCACCCTCAGTAGTGGGTGTCATGTACTCCATGATTGGTAGTTCTTCTGCCATTTTTTTTCTTTTCTCTACACTCTTTCCTTAGCCTACGTGCAGTTTTCTCGATTTCTGAATCAAAAGCAAGTTCTACAATAGGTTTAGAACAAGTGAGCATAAAACAAAATAAAAATAAAAATGTTTAAATCAACCAAATACTCAATTTTCTTTGATATTGAAAGCTAATCCCCGGCAACGGTGCCAAATACTTGTTTGTTGGCAAGTGTACCCATCAAAAAGTAATAAAGGGGTTTCAAAAAGAGTTCTCAAGTTATCGTCCCACAGAGATTATTTTCAAGTACCAAGAATAGCTTGATTCGATTGTTTAAACATAACGAGATTGTAATAGACCAAAAATGGAGCTTAATGTTAACAATAAATTAAAAGAACAGTAATACGATGTATGAGAGAAATCAGATGAGATGAGCCTAGGACTTATGGGTTCACCTTCTACAATTCTTTATGTTCTAATTAATTTAATCTTGATATTGGTATTCAAATATTTTCCAACCACTCATAATTAGTTATATTAACACCCAATAAGTATGCAATGTAAATATTCTTTTTCTTGAGGAAACACCCCCAATGATCATGCAAGGTAATTGGTCGAGAAAGCACGAAGATCCTATGAGTTTGTTAATTCAATAATGGCCGAAAGAAAGGAATTAAGTGTAATTAACCTAGCCCCTTATCTCGTTTTATTCTATAGTTCCGTTAATTACATGTGGTACAATCGCCTACAATGCAACTAACTATGAGATGCTAAGGGTGATCAAATCTTAACATACACAATATAATCCAATAGAATAAAACCAAACATTAAAGAAAAACCAATACCAACATTAAAGTAAAAATCACATAAAGTTTGTAGTAGGATCCGCCATAGCCTTAGCTATAGGTTTAGTTACTCATAACAAAACAAACTATAAAAAAACATGATAAATAAACCCATAACTAAAAGGGAAAACTTAAACAAAAGAAACCCAGAAAGGTAGACGACGAAGAAAGTTCTCGTTCTCCGAAGGGGCGCTCAATTACTTGCTTGGACTCCAAGGAAAAGCTCGTTGTCCTTGCCAATGGTCTCCAATGACTCTCAAAGATGAGTTTGGATAGAACTAGGAAAGTGTGTAGCGAACTGGAAGTCTCAAGTGTGAAGCATAAGACCTCTTTATATAGACTGTACCTTGAGTTTCAAATTGGTTGAGTTCTATCTTTTTAAATCAGTTTTACCTACAATCAGAATCTTAATTGAAAACTGCTCTAAATCTTTATCTAAGTTTAAATTTTAAATTCAAAATTCAAACTCAGATTTTCATAGCACCGCAAGGACTAAAAGTATCTAATTTTTCTCACTACATAATATACTAATAACAACTTCTAGCTAAACTGCAATAATTAATAACATAATTAGTATAAATATATATAACATAAAGTTTACGTGTATAAATATAAGTCATAAAATATATCAAAATATGAACTTATCAACCTCCAAACTCTCACAGACCTCTTCGCCAGAGTCACTATCAAGGTTCACTTCTTTATTACACGCTCGCGGATGCCATAGTTGCGATGGACCGATGACTTTAACAGATGTTCCCGTACAAAAGAACGGATTCTTCTTCATTTCTAAATTCATTGATATAATAAAGGCCAGTTTCAAAGAGTATTTAATATATTTCTTATATTTTAAAATTAAAAAATATTTATATTTTTATGATAAACTATAAATTTTTATTATTTATTATACATATTTTATATAATAATAATTATTATTATTAATAATTATATCCATGGTTGGTGATTCATTTCCCAAATTATATACATGAGACACATTACAAAGCCTAAAACTGACTAGTGACCAGGATCTTCCAAGATTGCTCATTCATATAATATATATATATATATATATATATATATATATATATATATGTTTCATCTTCAAGAAATGACCCAAGATGGGGTCATACAAGGATGCCATCTGACAAAAATGGATGTTGTTCAAGCAACTCTTATCTTATTAATTAATATTTATATATCTAGTATGTAGAATTGTAGATCGATATGCGCTTAATGACTTTTTGCAACTTTGTGTGCAGAAAAAATTAAATTTTTAACTTGATTTATTTGTTGTGATATTTTTTTCACAAATTATTTAAGGCATTATAAGAACTTGATACTTTTATACATTTGTTCAAGATGTCACATCCATACTAAGGATACACTCCAATGTGTTAAAAATAGTCCAACAACAAAGAAAATATAGATTTATGTAGGTCTATGGAATGAAGAATTTGCAACTTCCTTCGATGTTAACAATTGAATTATAACTCAATATAAATAATCTTCCCTTACTTTTTGCTACATTATGGTGTATGTAGAGGGTTAGGAGTGTTATTACATTGTTGGAAAAAAAATCTCAATTTATAAAATTATATTTGATATGATGAACATTGCCAACCAGATTAGTTATGTGAACAAGTGCAGTAATCTCAAGCTCGTTAAGAGGTTGATCAGAATTTTGAATTCATCATTAATATTGATGGAGTGCTTGGAGGAGCCAACAAGGAGTTGGTTTCAGTGCTCTTACTAGAAATAGAAATGAAAATTAGTTTATAAGAACTTATAAGTTTATTGACATTTCAAACAATACTCATATTAAACTCATAGTTATACTTCAAGATTTGAAAATAGTTTGAAATCTAAATATTAACATCTCTCATGTGATTCTGACGCAAAAAAAAGTCATAAATCTTGTAGTAAAAATTATTTCAGCTTTTCGCAAGTATGCTAATCTCATTTAGGATACTAAAGAGTAGCTGAGGAAAAACTGACAAATCATTATCAAATATACCTTGCATGAAGGCTATTCATATGCAGATTTTTTAGCAAAACTAAGAGCTTCTCCATATTGTAATTTCAAAGATTAAGTTTCTCTTCCTAAAGACTTAAGATTACTTTTTCAAACCGATGTTAGGGGAGTCTCAAACTTAATATTATAATTTTTTTTGCTTTCTTCTAAAAAAAAAACATGACTTTCTTACTGTATACTTAATCTCATTATTTTTATATGAAATAATTAATTAATTTTAAAAAATTAATTATAAATTTATGTTGTATTTTACAAATTTTATAGTATTAAATGGTTAAATTATGTATTTATTTATATGAATCATAAGCGAATGTTTCGTAAATAAAATAATATAATAAATAAGAGTAAAAAAATAATTAATATATTTAAAAATTATTTTAAATTTTTGTAATTAAGAAAAATATGCTAATAGTTATTTTTTAGAAAAATCAGAAAAAATATATTATTACTACATTATTAGTAAAAAAGTAATTATGACATTGAACAAAAATTAAATTTACTCTAACATAAGTTGTAAATTTTAAAAAAACTAAATATAAGTTTTCAAAATTACAATAATGACATATTGTATAAGTGATAGGTGCCCATTCTTAATTATTCAATAATTTATTATTATATCAATGACTATTAAAACTAAGAGCATATATGTATGCCTAAGTAATCTAATCCAATGACTATTTATTATATCAACGACTAAACCAGCAGGCTGATTCGTTTAACCTGTGAGTTGGGTAAATTAGAATCAATAATAATATGTCTGTTTTCAAAAAATAGACTTTTTTAGACCCGTTCAATTTAACTCGTAGATTAGATGACTTAGGCCTACAGATTAATGGGCAGGCTTGCAAACCTTTTTAAACAAACAAATAAATAAATAAATAAAATTTTATTGATAATTTTTTAATATTTATATATATATATATATATATATATATATTTTCAATTTTTAAGTATTTTTTATTAAACAAGTCAGTCCGCTAATCAATAAATCAAAATGGACCACATGTGGGCCATAAATTTGTTTGTTAGACCCATTAATTTCACGGGTCAATCCAACCCATCCCATTTAATAGTAAACTTGAAGTAGCGGTTAGCTTGTAATCTGCCTCTAAACACGAAATATAGAAGCATCCTCACTTTTACACTTACGTGCACATAACGAAATTTGTACTATTACTGCTATATGTATATGTACAAAAATTGAGTGCTCTGGTACGTATAACTAAATATTTATAGGGAAGACAAGAGTTCAAATTCTTAATGTGATAGTTTTTGGGAGGACATAGTTGCTTGTAATGCAAGGAGTATAATTCAATGCTTGAAAAGAGACATTAATCAAAACGAATAAGCAACTAGTGTTATATCATAAGGAGGTAAATCTACGCCTCTAGTTTAGAGAGTAATATGGCTTTTTATGGGAGATTAAGTGAGAGAAGAGTCAATTGGTGAAAAAGATAAAAATGTCATAATTAAACAATGAAATTTATAAATAAATTTGGTCTCAAATTGTAAATATTCGTGTCTTTTGTTTGTTTAATCTTAATAAATTTTAAAAATAAAGTGAACAAAAAGCAGCTATTTCCTTCTCAAGATTAGAGGCAATAATTAAGCACATTATTGAAACTAAGCATGGAAAGTGTGAATTTCCTTAGTGTATTGATACTTTCATAGTGTGTGCAATAAAGTAATCTAACTAGCAAGTGTACCAGTGTACCAGTGTAATTGTAATAAGTTATAAAATTTTCAGAATCAAAGTTGAGTCCCAAGTATT